GTTGAGATGGGTGTCGGTTCATTGGGTGGATGTATCATGATCCTATTAATTATTTTATAAATTAAATTTATGATATAAACTTTAAGGTTTATATTACAAAAATATTTTTTTTAAATACCATTAATTGATATCAGATGTACTATTAAATTTATCTTAAAATATTAATTTTAAAATGTGTGAAAGCTTATTTAAAAATGCTAATTGTAAATAGCAAAAACCAAAAATATGATTAGTGCTAGTGGGGTATTGCTGCTCCGTGAATTAAGAAGAAAAGGAAGGGAGACCAAGCACGGAGAAGTAGGGTAAAGATGGTAATTATATTTGCCATTATACAATCTAATTAAGTGTGTAAGTGGACATGTCACTTACATCCACAGGCATTCACAAGTGGAGCCAAGGAATATTAAACAATCTTAGAAATTAGGTTAATTTAAATTGGGACTAATATATTTTGTGAGACCCATCAAATCATGCCATGCATATATCTTTTGTCTCACATATGTAGGCAGTGTGAACTTTCAATAGCGATTAATTTTAATAAGAAAAATGATAAGTATATACTTAGTTTGACATATTTTTTAATATTTGTCTAGTACTCTACGTTTATTCTCCTCCAAAACCCCGGACATATTACTCCTGTTAAAAAAAAAAAAAAAACCTTTTTTTTTTATTGATTCAACACCCTTTTTGTTTTACAGCTAAACAAGCCAAAATGTCACTTTAGCTTGAGTTCATTTAAATCTTAATTGGATTTTGCATATATATAGTTCATAGTATCCTTTGAACTCTTAATTACAATAAATCTTTTGCTGTTAAAAGAAAAACTTTATTGGATTGAGATTTCGGTCAAGTCATTTTCAAGGAAGATTTTTGAAAGCTTTAAACTAGATTAACATAATCCTTAAACTAGTATAAATTAATGCTTAAATACTCACAGTGCTTTAGCGGATCGATGTTGTTGATAACTACCATATATTAGGTACACAGTGGTGGGGGAAGTACAGGTCAAGTGAGGATAAATTATCGTTAACATGTTTTCAGTGGTCCACTAAGGTTACCTTTTCCCTTTAATTGGGACAAAAGGAATTAAGCTGGTTTTGTGGGGATATATTTATGGAAAATGATGTGTATACACCCGGATGTGCACACTCTCCATTGAAAAAAAAAAAAACCAACCACCACCCGGTCCAATTTTTTTTTTTATGTGAGAGTGCACACCCGGGTGTGCACCAATCAATGTCCTATATTTATATATATACATATCATTGTCAGAAAAATGGGTAGAGTATATTGGAAATATTTCTTTCTTTGTTCTAAGCACGTCGGATGGAGACATCTAGAAAGAAACCGGAGACGATCAAGAAGCTGATCAGAGAAATGTCTGGAGCTAGTATAATGCATGTACGGAGAGCTAGGAGTCTCCAACGTTAAAACTCTAGATAGGCACAAAATAATATGATATCTCTTTATACACACATATATATATTTGAATAATAAGGATATCTAGGTTTTTGACCTAACTAATTATTAAGTTACTTGTAAATCACTTCATTCATAAATATTAAGTAAGATTTTACTTTTAAAAGTGACAAGTTTAACCCATTCATAATATATTGTTTTACATTAATTTTCATCCATCCAAGATGAGTAGATTCCATGTATTCCACTTCTCCACCCTTCCCTTTTCCCTCCTTCCCTCTTTTTTTTTTTTTTTTAAAAAAAAACTTTTATCCAAATAAACATTACCTACTTAAATAAATTTAAATTTAAATTACATAATGTATAAATAAATTTAAAATTAAAAAATAAAAAAGAGTTATCCTTCATCATCGTGCAATGCAAATCAAATAAAAAAAAAGTCGCGCTCGTGTACTCCACTATCCTTCTTTGTGCAAAAAAATTAGTCGTGCTCGTGCATTTTGATTCTTGGACCCAAGTCTATGTACATTTTATACATGTTTGGACTTTGGACCGCATTCTCATGGCCCATATCGTTTTGAGCCGGATTTCAATTTGGCGACTTTAGTCCCAGGCTCAAAACCTCAAACTCGATCTTTTGGGCCTAACTTAATTTGAAAAATGGAAATTAACTCCAAAAAGTTCGTAAACTCGGTTCTGTTTCTGATTGTCGTAGCAACCCGCAGAAAACCTCCTTTCATGGCGTCTCTCGCTTTCGGCTCCTGTCTTTGTCTGTTCGGTGGCGACGGAGGCGGTGGGAATTACGCCTCTGTTGCAAACAAGTTATCGGAAAAGGTGAGGTTTAATCGGAGTCAGGTCGGTTGTGGTTCGTCTCTGGAAGAGAAGAGTCGTGTTCTGAGAATTGGTATACTTTGTGGAGCTCCATCAGCGGATCATGGAATTTCTCTGAATTCTGCATTTCTGCTAGATCAGTTCTTGATTACATTCAGGTATCATCTTAAACAAGAAAGCAATAATTACTGCATATCTTTCATAGTTATTTTGGAAGTGGTTCTTCTTTAGCTATACTTCATTTGATGTAATGGGTTGATGTTAAAGTTTCTTTTAGGGGAGAGAGAGGAGAGACTAGACTAGGAGAGGAGGTAAGAGAGAACTTAGAACATGAACGTGACATAAAAGATAAACATGGAAGGGTGTAGACATTTGCCCAACCGAGAGAGGAGAAACCTTGCTTTCTCTCATACTCAATTTTCATTCAATTTCTTCATTCATTTTGATAGAGAAAGGCTACACATAAAACAAGCTACACATAAAACAAGAGTTTTTTGCTACCTAATACAATAATTTTTGGCTACCTAAAACATTGACTAAAATGTAGAAGTTCGCAGCAATTTCTTGCAGCTCATGTGTAGCTCCATGCTGCCGTCACTGTGCTGCTACTGTGCTGTCATGTTGCAGCATCATTTTGCAACTCTCATTTCATTGCATTTGCAGCTTTCATGCTATAGCTCCAACAATTGAAATCCTTTAGATACTGGAATTTCGTGTTGATGGCATGGGGTGCTCTATTTTTTATTTTATCTAGTAGAAATTTGTGATAAAATGTTGTCTATATTAATTTGCAGACAACAGCATATGATTTACAACTTTAAAAGCTATTAAAGTTCTAGAAAGCTTCTCCTGTTTGTAACAGAAGTTCATATAGATGTTTATTAGGCCATTGTCGAGAAGAGAGTATGACGGGGAAGCTGATGTTGAAGCAGAGGATCAAATTCTTGATGATGGCACTAACCATCAGCTGCACTGCAATAGGAAGTCAATAGAAAAAGGTTATCTTTTGCATTAAGAAACATGCACAGATTGTTGAGGGGTTTATTTGACATCTGGGACGACATTGAATTAACATATCTTTCTCTTTTTTTCAGCTTCTGTGTCTTTGGATGGAATATGGATAGACTGGATTTTGGAATATGTATGTTCATACTTCCTGTCTTCTCCTCTTTTGCACACCTCCTTTCTGTGTCTTCAACTTGGCTGCCTTCAATTTATTGATAATGACACTGGCGGAAGGCCCTGGGATCAGCTTTTCTCATTCTTTGCGTGTGGTCATGGGCTGAAGAATGCAAATGAGGATGTTATTCAATTTGTCAATAAATAACATGTGCTTCGGAAAACCTGCCATTGCAGAGATTGTGCACAATGGCCTTTTTTTGTTGTTGGCGCTTTCTTGCTCAGGAAGTTTGAATTTCTATCAGGTTGTGGAAGACAGGTTCTGCAAAAAGCAGAGAGAAGAAAATAGCCAAATCCCACTGAACAAAGATGGCACAGTTCCTTCATTTTGGAGCAGCCCAAAGTTTTTTGCTCTCGCAAACTGAAAAATTTTCTAAGTTTCCAGGCGGTCCCTTGAAGAATTATTGTAGCCTATATAGGTGGCTCCCCAAGTTAGATAAATTGGTATTCTTTGGAAGATATTGACAATGTTATGAGGCCACCCGTTCATTCCTGAATGAATAGAGAAAAGCGTACAGATCCAAAAATATGAATAATTTTATGGAATGCAATTGGGGCATGCTCTGTGATTTATAGAATGCTCTGTTTTAGATTTTTGCAGGGAATACTCTGCACAAGATTACTTCTAATTTCTGTAAGATGCATTTCTTCTCCTGTTCAAAATTAAACTCTCTTTCTTCTATCTTTCTTTTTGAAATGCCAATTAACAGCTCTAAATTTGCTTCAATAAATTGAATGCTACTAATAAGGTACTTCCTTGTGATTCACGCCCATAATACTTGTGGGTAATATATGATTGTTACTTGCTTTCTTTTGGTCTCTATAAATGACATTTTTCCTTTTGGCCTGCTCTATATAATTGATTACTTTAAATCAAAAGAAACATGGTGATATACGAATTGCTTTCTTTTATGTCAGCAAGAACAATATGTCAAATAACCACCCCACTAACATTTTATTCGTTTTAATTAATCTCATAATTATAGTAATAATACATATCTACAAAAGAGGACACATACAATTTTAATTGATCAAAAATTTTATTACATAAAAACCAAAACGTCTTTATTTAAACCGCCTATCTGCAACTTGGTTTTAGCAATATTTTAATTAATTATACATATGCATTTTCCAAAAAAAATAAATAAAAGACTTGAGTCTACACACGGGTGCATATATATAATTTATCTGGTTTTGAACAGTAAAAGGGGTGACATAAAGAGGGGGTGAGATCTTAGATTATTCATTGAAGGGTTCCCTCTTTTTTGGACTTGGATTCGAATATTCGATTAATAATGTTCCGACACTAATTAAATATGTTGGCATGAGCTCTTATGTAATAACGCATAAAAATCACTTTTTCTTTAAAAAAAGAAAAAAAAAAGAATCCTTAGAGCTACTAATAGACAAATATGCCAAATCCAGATTTAAACTCTTAGCTTAAAAATATTAATTTGCTTAAATATATTATGTCGATATGTAAGAGTACATTCTTAAGATTATCTAAAATGATTAACTTCAGAGTATATGCCAAATGTTGTATTTGAATATTCTGATCGTAAATATAAAAAATAATAATAATGGTAATGTAGAAAAATCAGCCTTGTATTTCCGTCCAGAAAGCATGGAACAAAGTCCAAAAAGCGAGAAATTTCATTTCCTGAAGTAGGGAAATTGCATCATGCATTAGAAACTAGAAAGTGCATTCACATGCAAAAAGAAAACGAAAGCTTGAAATACACGTTTCCTGTTATTTGTTTATATATTTCCTTTAGACTGAAACACAAAAAAGACAATTACATTGAAGGGTAGCTGGGATTTGAGACGTAATTTTCACTCTGTTTGAGGTTGACCCAATAAATATAAGTAGTTGATCCCAGTTTCCTCTTATCCTGATAATTAGTTTGTACAATATTGTCAAATGCATCAGCTACTACCATTGATTTTTTTCTGAGCTTGAAATTTCTGCCATGTAGACTCTGGATGCATGCATGTTATACATCTCGCTATCCAAAATTAATGGCTTTGAAGCAATAGAAGGGAACATTTAGGTCAACTACTTGTCATTCAATACGAAATTTGGTTGTCCTCCGCTCTAAATTTCTAACTCATTTGAATGACTAACCACTGCAAATCAAGATGCAGGCACAGAATGTTTCTGCACCAGTTGTGCTTGGCAGATATAACGGTACCGCCTGGGGTAGCCCTTTGATAGGTAAGATGGAAAATGACTGCAATCTCAACTGGTAGAAGTAACCAAAGTCCAATTTGGGGAGAGAAAAAGAACACAAATTTCTGTTTGTTCTCTGATGTGATGGTAAAACTTGGACTCTAGTGCATGGATATACCACCCTCATATCCTCTTCACCTACATTGTTGCCTGCACCAAGTCTACCTCAAAGAATCAGCGCTTAAAATGTTGATGCTACCTCCTCTTGGTGTTAAGTTTCTTAAATTCTATTAAAGACTCAAGAATTCTGCAGGTTATTTGTGTTCCTGTCCTCTCAAGGTTACTTAGTCCTGCTCTTCATATCTTTAACTCACTTTTCGTTTGATTTTTTTAGCTTTGTGTTTCTCCTCAAAACACCGTTCCAGAATTTCAGATAGATTTAAAAAACGAAAAAACACTATGGAGGAGACTCTCATCCCATTCCGTGGCATTAAAAAGGACCTTCAAGGAAGACTGATGTGCTACAAGCAAGATTGGACTGGCGGTTTTAGAGCAGGCTTTAGGTATATACATCCTAACACCTATTTTTCTATGTGGTACTTTGGGCTTCATATTAATGGTAAATCTCATTGTCTCAATACTGCAACAATTGATTGTCAAATGTCAATACCTTGTTTACAGGATTTTGGTCCCCACCTCCTACATCTTCTTCGCTTCTGCCATTCCAGTCATTTCATTTGGCGAACAACTGGAAAGAGATACCGGTATCATGCATAAACTGACTTTTTTTTTTTTTTTGCCTTGCTTAAAGGCTAAGTGTTGCAACTAAATTAGCATACCATGTTCTGGATACAGATGGAGTTCTGACAGCAGTTCAAACGTTGGCATCTACTGCAATTTGTGGGATCATACATTCAATTATTGGAGGTCAACCATTGCTTATATTAGGAATATCTGAACCAACTGTCATTATGTACACATTTATGTTTAAATTTGCCAAAGACAGAAAGGATTTGGATCCAAACCTCTTTCTAGCATGGACTGGATGGTGAGCTTATTTTTTCTCCCGTTGAATTTAATTTCTTCCCTTGATATCTTTGATATATATATTAATTGTTTGAAAAATGTGCTCATCTTTTGTGCAGGGTATGTGTCTGGACTTCAATCCTGTTATTCTTATTGGCTATACTGGGAGCTTGCTCCATAATCAACAAGTTTACCCGTTTGGCTGGAGAGCTGTTTGGTCTGCTCATAGCCATGCTTTTTATCAAGGAAGCTATTGAGGTATAT